TTGGAGCTCTTCTTTGAGGCTATTGGATCGTCGTCGCCACCTTTGGATCTCGACACGCCGGTCTTCTTGAGTGCCCTCGAGGCTTGCGCGAATGTGGGCGATCTCGATCGAGGAGTTTTGATTCACGAGAAAATCCTTGAATCGTCTGTAAAGGTTGACGCTCTCGTGAGCAACAGCTTGATAAACATGTATGCCAAGTGTGGTAGCGTTGCAAAAGCTTTGGAAACTTTCGAAAAGCTCTCGAGTCCGGGTGTGATTGCCTGGAACACAATGATCACGGCGTATGCCCAGGCTGGAGATAGCAACGCCGCGATCGAGCTATTCCACCAAATGGATCTCGAGGGCATCAAGCCCGACGGCGTCACCTTTATGGTTTTGCTCGAGGCATTGGGATCGATCGGATCACTGCAAGATGGAAAGTTCATCCACTTGCGTGCCGCATCGCTTGGATTTGACGAACAAGACACTTCTCTCTGCAACGCTCTCTTGAATCTTTACACCAAATGTGGGAGCATGCAAGACGCTATCGCCCTCTTTCACAGAATGCCCACTCCAAACCAGATCTCCTGGACTTGCACCATTGCAGGGTATGCTCAACAGGGGCATAGCACCGAAGCCCTCGAGCTCTACCAAAAGATGGACTTGGAAGGCACCAAGCCCAACCAGGTAACACTTTTGGGAGTCCTCACGGCGTGCACACACGCCGGCCTGGTCGAGGATGGCATATACTACTACAATTCCATGGTATCCGACCATAACATCCAGCCCAAGGAAGAACACTACGGTAGCCTTATTGACATGCTCGCCAAAGCAGGATGGCTGCAAGAAGCCGAGGCCCTGATCGAAACCCTGCCCTTTCACCCGTTCGCCGTGGCATGGACATCCCTCCTCGGGGCATCTTGCAACCACAAGGACGTAGATCGCGCCGAGCGAGTAGCAGCCAAAGCAATCGATCGAGAACCCGGCAATGCCGGTCCATACATTTCCCTGTCAAACATGTACGCGACGCTGAACCGATGGGACGACGTCGCCCGCGTGAAGAAACTGATTGCCTCGCTCAAAGGTGGCGGACAATAACCATAAGCCCTAATAAACGTCTAGGGATTCGAACCCACGCACGCAAAGGCCACGTCACCGGCCCAGTTTCGACTTAACGATGCCAACTGTCTGCCCGCCAGCTGTGCGCCACTTAATAGTGTTTTGGCCGTACACTGCCGAAAGTTAAAGGCCTGCTGCTCGCCAGCTGGCGGTGATGGCCATTCCCTGCGACCGGCTAGGTGTGCGTCCGGCGGGCGGACGGCACAGTGACCGCACTGCGGTTTGCCGTACACCGCGCGGCGTCATGTTCCTCCGTACACGCTGCCAAAGTTGTCGAGCATCGAAAAAAAAAGAGGCCGGGCCAATTCCTCAAGGAATGGTGGCTGACAACCACAAAGGCCATTAAGAAGTAGCTGGAGCGCCCGGTTTTTGTTTTAGTTTAGAAATGTTCTTCTTTTGTTGATGCTATTGCTAGTGCGATTGATCGGCAAGAGCCAACTGTTGCCCCGGGGGATCCCACGATATAGAATTAGAAACTTGGCCAGGTGGCTTCTAGAAGTTCGCGAAGGGAAATGGTAAACAAGAAGATCTCCGGAAACCGCGATCTCGTGAAACAACGTGCACGAGAGTTGGATCAAGTCAAGGTTCTTTTCCCGGCTGATTGAAACAATCAAAACAACGCCACTCGCGAGAAGTTGCATGGGAAGGGTTCCAAAAGTCACCGGGATCGAACACGCGTGATCCACTCGCTCACGTTTGCTTGGCGCGAAAAAAAACAAACCATTCACATCATAGCGTGATCCCTATGATTACAACAATGTTTCATGACGCGAGAAAAGGTGGCGAAACAAGAAAGCCCTCCCTACCCATGAACGGATCAATTACGCAATCATGCACAGGAAAAACACAAACACACGGGGTCAGAGCAAGCATCCTATGCTCTGAAGAGAATCATGCCAGGCATATTCGCCTCGGATTCCTCTGGTTTTGCCGCGTCTTCCGTACGCCGCGGCTGCCGTGCGACCGGCGCCGCGGTGACCGACACCACGCGACGACGCGTTTAATGGCCACAAAAACACACAAAGCGACCACCCTTCCTCGCTGGACTCGCTGCTTTTTCTCCATTCTCCTCTGGCTTTAATACCACCATAGCTTTAACCCTCTGAAAGAAAAGAGCTCGAGAGCTCGAGAGCTCGCGCGCACCACGCCAAAGTTCTAGCTAGAGTGAAGGATCAAAGCGAGCAAAGCAAATCAGGGAAGCAAGCGAAGAAGAAGACGATCTCTTTCTCTCTCACTTTTGTTCTTCGAGCGAGCTAGATCTCTCTCTCACTCTCACAGGTGTTTGGAGCTCGAGAGCTCTCTCTCCCCTCTTTTCCAGAGCAGATCGAATCGCCCATCATCCAGGAAGCGGAGAAATGGAGGCCGGGAAGGTGCTGAACAAGGTGCTCGCGGTGGTGATGTTGGTGGTGGTGTTGCTGGCGGTGGCGGAGGCCGCGCGCCTGACCAAGTCGTTTGGTGGCGGCGGCCTCGAGGTGGACGATCTCAGCCTGGAGCAGCAGCAGCAAGTCCTGGATCTTGGCAGCCGCTTGGAGCACGCGACCCGGCAATTGCTCACGCAGGATCCATACCACACTTACTGATGATCATGATCATTCTTCCTTCGTCGCTCGTTCGTTCGTTCGAGGTCTCTCTTTGAAATGAAAGTGGAAAAGAAAAAAAAATTGTTCTCGTCGCGCTCTCTCCTCTCTCTATTCTCTCGATCTTCTCGGTCAATCTATCAGCTCGGCAGCAGCAGTATCAGCAGCAGCAGCAGCAGCAGCAGTGGCAGCAAGAAAGAAAAGAAAGAAAACTCGTCTTTGGTGTGTTCGTCATAAAAGACTTTCGGATCAAGAGGGCGGAGGGATCGATCGCTTCATAGCCGATGCTTGTTCTTCGAGATCTCTATTGGGTTTCCAGCCAGCATTCTTGCTACTGTGAAGAGGTTCTCTCTCTCTCTCTTGGTTGGGTATGTTCTCTCTCTTTTGGTTTGTGGGTCTAGTTAGGCTCTTTAGATCTTGCGGGGGCGACGAGGGGGCTCGCGGGAAGCTACATTCTCTAATGTAGCTTCGTTCCTGGCGGGCATTTGTAGCATCTCTTCTTTTGCCACACTCTGGCATCAATAAGGAACTTTGGTTCTCTCCAGATCTCCAGATCTCCAAATCCATGGCGTTCTTCCTTCTTGGGCTGTTTCTAACTTGGGTCTTGCAGATCTGGCAGGCGAGCTCCACGCTTCCGTCGCGTCTCGCCAGGAGTTCTTAAAGATCTAGGCGTGGATAACAGGTTCGTTCCCATCAATCCCGCGAGTGGGTAGTAAGTTTGCAGTGGGTTTCTAGCACGAAAGGCACGAGAGCAACCGGTCCCCCGTGGAAGTTTGGTGGGTGTTCTTAGTTTTGTTCGTTCGATCGGTGGTTCGTTCACAGGATGGTCGAGACAGATTGTTGCTCGCTCCACCACAATCCATCGCTCGATCATCTCGATCGCTTTGGATTTCCATGGTGCCTCTATATTGATTAGCTCTGTAGCTTATAGCAGCTCCAAATGGCAGGCAAGCTTCTCTATAGAGCGATGTGATCGCCTTAAAAAACTCTTTCCAAAGCTAGCTTGTTTGATCAATCACGAGGAGAAAGAATTCTTCTTTGTCACCATCGCGATAAAAAGAAAAGCTCACGAGATCAAGCCCGAGATCAAGCTATAGTAGAGAACTTTTTCTAGCGTATTCTCTCGTACGTACCAGCCAGCGTATGGCTACAGTACATTTATTTCTCCCATCTCCTCTTTAGCCAGCTGACAGGAGCAAAGACATAAACAAAGCTTTTGTCGCCATCGCCGAGTGAAAGAGCGACCAGAGCTGCACAGCTACTCCTTAATCCAAAGCCATCTCTCGCGAGCTCTTTTGTCCACAACCTCTTTGCGATTCCCCTCTCACGAGGAAAATTCCACTGCAAAAATCAAGCTCTTTAGTCGCGAGCTAAGCTATGGAGGCGTGGCGATTCCTTCCAGCTTGTCCGCTTACACTGTGTAATTGGGCGATGGAAATACGAGCTGGATCGCGCAGCCTTACTTCCAAAACAGCCAGCCAGCACATACTTTCTCGCTTTTCTTTTTTCTAAGCTTCACGGTCTTGTCTCGTCCTAGAGCTCTTCGTACCTTTTTACCGGCGCTGGAACAAACATCATGGCGATCACGTTCCATGATCTCGCAATTTGCGCAAGCGATCGATTTCATTTAAAACTGTGCTGAAAGCAAAGCTTACTTGGGGTTGTAACACGTTCTTCGTCTCAAACTTCCAGGAAGATCCCAGCCTTGCTCTGGAGTTTTCTGTAGCTCCCTTGCCAATCTCTATCCCGGCCAGCCAAGCCATCTTCTCTGGACTTCTGTCACAACACAATGAGAGGCGTTAGCGAGGGCATTCAAGGATTTTTGTCGCTGTCCTGCTTAGCTTCCTAAAGACAGAGACAAGCGGCTCTACTACTTAATCCAAACATTCTCAAGGCAAAAAAGTTCCTGTCCAGACCTCTGTGGTGCCTTTGCAGACGCAACCGGGTTTCACAAGCTGGATGGATCGAAGTGAACGGGGAGGGGGCCTCCAAGTTGTCGGCTTTCACCAGAATAATTGCTGGAAGCGGGCAGACTTATTTCCAAAATAGCCAGCTGCCACACCCGAAGAATAAAGCCACGGTCAGTCCAGTTACCAAGTGTTTCGCTCAGGCCATACCTCGGGGCAACGTATCTCTTCTTCTTTCTCGCTGGCATTGTGCTTGCGAGGAGCGCGACCTCTCTCCCCAGGTGGATCTTCTCACGTCCCAGGATCCTGTACCATCTACATAACGAAAACGAAAGCGTTGTACCATCTACCACCAGAGGTCGAAATCCCACATACCTCTGGCTCCGGGGAGGGAGAACCAGTAACGCTGGATGGCTGTTTTCTTTCGGCTTGAAGGATCCTGCAGAGTGCCTCGAGCTTCTTCTTTTGGTTTGTGGTCGTCTCAAGCTGCTTCTTCAGCGAGCCACGCTGCAAGGAAACAAACGTCGTAAAACACATGATCGAGCCGTTACTGCCAACTTTCTTACTTCGTCCAAGAGCTCAATGAGAGATACATCACATTGTTGGCATTTCTTTTTCAGCGAGAGGTTTTCCTTTTCCAACGTCCTTATCGTTTTAGACATCTGCAAGGAAGAAATCACATATCTGTAACTTAAAATATGGCAACGTAACCTTTTCCATCTCTTGTTTGAAGGACGCAAACACCTCATTACTCTTGGTCAGCGTGTCCTGCTCAAAGCCAATCTGTTTTAGTTAAACATAGGATTTCGACCAATACCTGAAACTGCTCAAACTTGTCACCATAGAGTGCCAGCTGCGAACGGAGATCTTGTTCTGTTAACAGCAGCTGTGAAATTTGCTCGGTATAAGCTCGTGCTTTCGCTTCTTCCTGTACGAAACGTTCCTGCTGTTGCTTCAGCTTTACTTCCAAAAGCTGATGTTCAAGCACCTTTGTCCGGAGCTACAAGTCGCAAAAGAAAAAGATGTAAAACGATTTAAACGTGAGGAAAAGGAGCGTGTACCTGGTGAGAGAAATGCTCCTCTCTTACTTCGTATTGCTGCGTGAAGTGCTTGAGCTTCTCACGCAATCTACAAGACAGCCTCCCACGTTAAGATAGGAGCTTGCAAAATAAAAACATACATTTCATTTTCCTTGACCTGCCGTATCCGGTCGTCGCCTTGTTCATCCAGTTTCAATGATATTTCCTGAAAGTAAGTGATGCTCGTCAACAATCAACTTCAAACGAGAGCCAACCTTGATCGTGTTATGAAACTTAGTTGACAGCTCCTGTCGTCGCTGCTGTTCCTCCGAGGCAATCTTCTTGCTCTCGTCCTGAATGAAGAAGATGATTGTTTAATAAGATTGGCTTTGAGCTAGATTTGTACGCGTACCAAAAGGATCTTGTTTTGCCGTTGAAGCTCCCGACACAATGATTCCAACTTTTGACGAATTAGA